TTCCGTGGGCTAAGGAGAATGGTGTCTCTCCTGTTGATCGTCAAGGTGTGGTGCGGTAAGCCCATAAAACATGAGGAAGTTCTTCCGCCCACTTGCCTTTTGCCTTTTCTAACCTTTTCTTTAGTCCATCCAAGACGACTTTATTTGATGCTTCTGCTTGGCCATTTGCTTGAGGGTATGCCGGTGTAGATTTGTAGAACTCTATCTTGTATTCTTCACAAAAGCTTATGAAGATTCTGCTGTCGAACTGAGTGCCACTGTCTGAAATTAGGGCTTTTGGTATGCCAAACCGAGTGATGATGTTTTGCCAGACGAACTTCTTCACATCTTTTTCCTTGATTGATGCCAATGCTTCTGCTTCTACCCATTTTGTGAAGTAGTTTGTTGCTGCGAGAAAGAACTTCCTGTTGCCGGGTGCTGTTGGAAGTGGTCCTACTATGTCCAAGCCCCACATTGCGAAAGGCCATGGGCTAGTCAATGGTAGGAGTTCTCTAGCTGGTTGATGTATCTGGTGTGCAAATTTTTGGCATTTCTCACACTTCTTCACATATTTCTCAGAGTCTGCCTGCATGTATGGCCACCAATATCCTTGTGAAATGGCCCTGTAAGCTAGCGATCTTCCTCTTTGATGGCTTCCGCACACCCCTTCGTATATTTCGAACAAGAATGCTTCCACTTTGCTGGGATGAACATACTTTAGGTAAGGCCCTGAGAATGACTTCTTGTATAATGCCAAAGATGGGGAGAGCCAAAATCGCTGGGACTTTGCTCTTATTCTGTTGGCTTTTTTTTTCTCTTCTGGTAAGACGCCGTCTTTTAAGAACAGGGTGATGGGATCCATCCAAGAGAGGCCTAGTTCTGCGCAACATACCTCTTCTGTTTCAGGGTCTTCTATGCTTGGTTTTGGTAAGTAGTCGATGAGCAATGGATGAGGGATGGATGCATCTGCCATTGAGGCAAAGCCTGCTAGTTTGTCTGCTCTGCTGTTTTCCTCCCTACCGATTTGTTCTATCCTTACTACATCAAACTTCTTGATCTGTGTTCTGACCAATTCTTGGTACTTGGCCATCCTATCATCCTTTGCTTCGTAGTCGCCAGAAATTTGGTTTACCACCAGCTGTGAGTCGCTGTATACCATTAATTCGGTGGCCTTCATGTAGTATGCTGATTTGAGTCCTGCGAGAAGCGCTTCATACTCCGTTTCGTTATTTGATGCTGGGAAGCCAAGGTTGATTGCTTGCTCTACAACCAGGCCATCTGGTGAGATGAGGACTATGCCAAGTCCTGCACCATGCCGGTTGGATGCTCCATCCACAAAGAGCTTCCACATCTCTCCAACGAACAACTTCCAGCAAATGGAGGGGTCAGATGATGTCGTGGGGTCAAGAATATTGCTAGTGTTTTCTTCAAGGTCCATGCTTGCTGTCTGCTCCTCGCCATCTGATTGTACCAAGTCTTTATTTGTTGGTGAGTCTTGGTTTGCCGCAGCTTGGTTCGCTTCTCCCTTGCTGTCTTTAGTCTGGTCTGCCTTGGAGTCTGGCTGAGTATCTTCTGCTAGGGGTTGCGCTATTCCGGCGTCAACTTCCATCCCTAGTTCAGTTGTGTCAGTTAGGTCGACCGGGCAGATATGATGACTACCAGGAGTAAACTCTGCGACGAAGTCTGCCAAAGATTGGGCCTTTACTGCGGTTCTGGCTTGGAACTTGATGTCGAATTGTCCCAACTCTACTGCCCACTTCAAGATTCGCCCACTAAAGTTCGCCCTCTCAAACAAAGCTTTTAGTGGAAAAGCTGTGAGGACGACTATGGTGTGGGCATGAAAGTAGTGTGCCAATTTTCTGGAGGCCATCATTAAAGCCAATGCTAATTTTTCCAAGGGCAAGTATCTTGTTTCGGCTCCCAACAATGTCTTGCTGACATAAAAGATGGGCAGGTGTTGGATTCCTTCTGCACGAACCAACACTGCGCTAACTGCTTGTTGAGAGACTGCAAGGTACAAGAAGAGTTCTTCACCAGGTACTGGGGTAACAAACAGTGGTGGGGAAGACATATATTCTTTCAAGCTTTCCAGAGCTTGGTCGCATTCTTCATCCCACTCAAACTTGGCCTTTAAAGCTTGAAAGAATGGTCGTAATCTGTCTGATGACCGGCTTATGAACCGATTGCGCGCAGTCGCCATGCCGGTGAGATACTGCACTTCTTTGACTGAGTTTGGTCTCTCCAAATCTTGGATTGCTTTGATCTGAGAGGGGTCTGCTTCTATACCTCGGTTGGTCACAAGGAAGCCCAGGAATTTGCCAGATCCTACTCCGAATGCACACTTGGACGCATTAAGGCGCAACTTGTGCTTCTTTAGGATCTCAAACATCTCGCCTAGGTCCTTAAGATGGTCATTCTCATCCTTGCTCTTGACCACCATGTCGTCGATGTAAGCCTCCATTGTTCTGCCTAACAATGGTTCAAACATCTTGGTGACCATCCGTTGGAATGTTGCCCCTGCGTTCTTTAGGCAAAGGGCATGACCTATGTAGGCAATATAATCCCCTTGGTGTTGTGAAGGATGTAACCTTCCTGGTCTGGTTCATTGCATGGGCAATCTAGTGGTAGCCTCTGTAGTGATCCAGGAAGCTGAAGTCGGTTATGCCTGCCGTTAGATCCACCAGTTATACTATCCTGGTAAGAGGAAAAGCTATCTTTTGCGCACGCCTTGTTGACTGTTTGTAGTCGACGCAACACGCCATTGTACCATTCTTTTTTGGTACTACGACTGTGTTGGAGATCCATCTTGGGTAGTGCACTTCTCTTATTGCCTCACTGCCTCCAGCAGGTTGCCCACCTCTCTGCACTATTTCGGCGGTGGTGGTAGTGCCGATCTGCGTGTGATTGAGATGACTGGTCTGGCGGATGGGTGGACATTGAGTTGGTGACAGATGAAGTTTAGATCAATGCCTGGCATGTCGTAAGGTGTCCAGGCGAACACTTCGATGTTGGAGGTCAAAAATTCCAAGACCTCTAACCTTTCAGTGCTGGACAATGACGAATCGAGCAAAAAGAACTTGTCCGGGTTCTTTTCATCTATTTTTACTTCTACCAAGTCCTCCACTGCTTTTTGATCTGCCGCCTTGCCAACATCTGCGAATAGTTCATTACTTTCTGGTTCTTCCACCGAATGAACGTACCCTTTGGCAGCGCGGCTGCCATTTGCCGTGGCAAAGCACTGTTTTGACATGATTTGATCTCCATAGACTTCTTCAATTATACCGGCGTCATTAGGAAACCTCATCACTTGGTGGTAGGATGACGCCACCGATCGCATGGCATGCAGCCATGTTCTGCCCAAAATGATATTGTAAGTGGAGGGGACCTTCAATACCCAGAACTCCACTTGTTTTGTTACACTTCCTGCCCTGACTGGAAGAATTATTTTGCCGACGGGCCATTCTGGCATGGAGTTGAATCCGATTAAGGGAGATACAGCAGGCGCCAGGTCTTTGTCTTGTAGCTTCAGTTGTTTGAATGTTTCATAGTACATGATTTCACATGAACTACCCTGGTCAATCAGAATCCGCTTGACGTCAAAATCCTTGACTCGGAGAGTGACGACTAGGGCATCATTGTGAGGGCAGTATATCCGCTCCAAGTCTTTATCCGAAAAAGATATGACGTTTGTTGCTTCTGTCTTCCCTTTTTTGACGGCTAGTTGGGCGCTTCTTACTTCTCTAAAGTGTTCAGCCTTCTTGATTGAGCCCCTGAGTTCGCATACACGCTCAGGTTCAACAACTCCATGTATTATATTGATAATGCCCTGAGGTGGGGCATCGATTGGCATTCCGTTGGTGTTGTTATGGTCCTGGGGGGCTGGCTGCGTCCTTCCTTCAATGTACTTATCCAGATGTCCTGCCGCCACTAATTCCTCCAAGTGCTGTCTTAGTGGCGTGCAATTCTTAGTTCGGTGCCCCTTTTCTTTGTGGAAGGTGCACCGTGATCTGTCGTCATAGTCTTTCTGAGCTTCTCCTAGCTTGGCTGGCCACTTGACAAAAGGCTCATCTTTTATTTCGCTTAGAATCCGGTATATCGGTTTTTTAAACACCGTTGTTATGGCAGTGCGGATTCTCAACCATCTTTTATCTGGGTCTTCTCTGTTATCTCGTCTGCCACGACCGTTTCTGTTCTGACGGTCTACTGTATTGACCTTTGCTAAGGCTTTCTTTTCTGGCATTACGGTCGTACCAGATTTTGCTTTGGCACGAGCGCCATCCTCTTCCACCCTGATGTGCTGATGCACTCTTTCCATCAGGGCTTCCATGGTGAGGGGTGGCGTCATGGTGATTGAGTCCCTCAGTCTATTCCCGACTGGAAGGCCTCTTTTATACTGGGCAATGGCGAGATTGGTGGGGCAATCCCCAATTTGATTGAATGTCTCCCAGTAGCGACTGTTGTATGATCTAAGGGTCTCTTTATCTCCCATGTCGATGGAGAGTAGCTGGTCGATTTTCACCGGAGTTTTAGTGTTTGTTCGAAATCTCGTTACGAATGCTTCTGCCAATTGAGCCCAGGAGGCTATGCTGCCTTTTGGAAGTTTTTCGAACCAAGTCAAGCCTAGATCGCCAAGGCTTGATGGGAAGAGTATACACATCAAGGCCTCGTTTCGCCTGTACACAGCCATGACTTGGAGAAAGTGGCTCAAGTGTGAGTATGGGTCTGTCTTCCCTTCATAGGTATTGAACTTCGGCTGAAGGAAGCCTGATGGTAGGGGCGCGTTTTCAATTGCTGGTACAAACGGAGAAGTCTGTAGTCTTGCCAATGCTTTGTCCGTTGGTTCGTAGGCCGGTCGCGGTATTGGCATTCCAACCTCGACGCTTCCATGCGTCCGAGGAGCCAACCGCTGTAAGGCCGAAACTCGGTGTGGACCCCTTGCCCTGGCATCCTCCTTGCATCGTGCTTTTTCTTCGAGTACGGTTCGTAAGTCGGATGACCTGGGCAGCTCTGTCTGTCTAGATCTCCTTCTGAGCTTCCTGAATAGCTGAAACCATTGCCATCTCATGTACCTGATGTGAACATGTTGAAGTTCAATGTGACCACACAACTAAACATTTTTTTAGCTAAGAAGTAAATATTGTGTGCCTGTGCATGAAAGTGACTGAATACATTGAGATATGCAACACATTCAGTATCATGCAATTGAATTGCAGACCTAAAACAATATACTACAATAATATTAACACAGAAATATAGCACCACTACTCTTATAGCACTGTCAAACATGTTAAACCAAGATAATTCATCAAACTTTACTCGTAATGAAGAGATTGCTGATATCAACGGAGGAGACAAGAAAACTTCACCTTCAAAACAGTTCCACCTCTGGATTTGTGACTAGTAATCTATATAAAGTGGTACTCTACAATACCAATTTGAATTGTAGACTTCGAGAAAAAGACAGACAGACACACATGGAAGTATAATATATGCAGTAGAGAACATCATGCCAACTGGGCCCTATCACATCTTGGACTATTATTAATATTCCAAAAGGAAAGGCAACAAAATTGATAATCACAGTGATGCTCTATTACTGAAGGAGCTATGCCATGTACATCAGTGGTATTTCAGCCTTAATTGATGAATGAGGAATCTATTTGTAATGAAAGGTTAAAACAGAATCTAAACATCAAAAGATGATAGTAGCATAACATCACAGACCAAGAAACTAACAATAACAAATACTTAAACAGATAGAAATATAGAAAAGTTTATTGAGGGACATACCATCTGCTGAAGAAAGAAGTAGAAACATGTAGGATAATGATCAAACAGGTGATAGGCTTTCAATGAATTGATAAGTATTATTACACCAACTTGCTCCCCAATCATCAAGATCATCTATGGATAAATGATAAAGCTCCTTCAATGTCTTGGACTTGACATTATAAGAAATAACTTTGCCCTGGATAGCTAACACCAGTGTAAAATCTTTTTCATTTGCTCCCTTCTAAACACAGAGCACATTAAATTCAGAGCATGTGATTATGGTTTTGCTAACACACATACACACACACACAATTAACAACATTCAAGATATATTCTCTATGAAAAAAAAAATTCAAAAGACAAAGAATCAAACACCTAAAATGCACAGTACAAAGAATAATTATCGTATAGAATTGAAGAAGCAAACATTTTTTTATTTTTCACATATCAATCAATGGAATCAAGCGGCGAAACATTTGGGGGTTTTAGATATAATTCTCACTATGTGTATATGTATATGGATTTAGAAAATATCTTACCAGTGATGCTTTTGATCAAATGAAGTAGTGTACCAGGTAAATACCCTTCTTCAGTTAGTGTATCTCTGCTTTGCTCCTCCCTGTGACTCTCTCTCTCTCTCTATCTCTATATATATATATATACATATAGTAATAATATTATAAATTTATATTTTATTATTTAAAAATTATTTAAAATTATCATCTTATAATTTAAATTTATTTTACAAAAAATTACTAAATATTTATAAAATATCACGTGTCTCTATTTCTTCACTAATCATTATTTATTATATCTCTTTATATTTTTTAATCATTAAATACAAAATTATAATATTTTATTTTCTCTACTAATTATAATACTATAAAATATTATAAAATCAAATTTCTAAACTATCCAATAATTACTCTTAGTTTATACATAAATTTCATATTATACAAATTTAATTTCAATCATTATTTTCAAAAAATCTTCGAAGACCATATAAATCTGGGTCCATAGACTTGTTCGCGTGTTCATTGGCCTCGTCGGTCACATTCTGTTTCAGCTTTAGCCTTTTTGTTTGTCCCTTTATGTTGTTTTTCCTCTGCCACCGCATCATAAACCTGCTACCTCAGAAAATTTTAACCCTTTCTGTCAATATCCAAAACCTAATCATCAATTCTTGTTTGTTGGAAAACATTTTTCGTAATTTGTCTTGGTTCGTCAAAGGTATGGGTTTTGTGTGTTTGCCTTGTTGTTAGTTTTAGAAAAATGAGTAGGAGCACTAATTAGTGTCACTATTAATGATGTGGCAGTGTCACAATGTTGTTGTGTCTGTTTTTTTTATTTATTTATAAAAAAAGTAGATATCATATCATTAGTGATTGCTTTAGAATATCACTTTTAATGATCTCTATCATTGCCCCTAGTTTTAAGATAATTGTTTCCATTGCTTTCTTTGATAGGTAAGACTGCTTACAATTTGTGAACTAATTACAAATGGAAAGTGCTCCTATTCTAATGCTGTATCTGATTAAGGATTTGAGAAGAAATTTGAAAAGAAAAATGAAAAAGGTAGGTGAAATGTAAATAAAATATACCTATATTTTATCTAGTTTCACACATATTTTTCATTTTCTTTTCTAAATTTTTCTTCAAATTTCCCAACCAAACACAGTGTAAATGAATTATCAAATTTTTTATTAAACTTCTCACATGAATGCGAGACCTATACAAATCACATGTGTGTGAATCTTACACCCATGTGAGAGGTTTAGTAGAAAATTTAATAACTTATTTGAGATTCCTACCATAACTCATTACAAATACCCAACTTTAATTACTTTGTGGGTCTGAATTTTAAGTATTTTGAAATAAGGATTATTTTATTTATTTATTTTTTAATTCTAAAATTGAGTAAAAAGTTTGATTTAAGCTATGTTTGGTTTTGACTTTTTAGTTAAAAAAGCATAAAAGACAAACTAGTGTTTTGGGAAGATGATTAAAAGCTGTTTTTTTTACTTTTTTTAGCTTTTTTATGAAATAGGGAAGTGGGTTAAAAGCTGGGAAGTGGCTTTTAACCCAATTCCCAAAATAGTCCAAAATTGACTATAAGTTAATAAGATAAAATATCACATCAAAACCATAATCATTACATTTTTTCTATCACAAAAGTCAAAAACAAAAACCAAACAAGGCTAAAAAAATCAGGTTAAAATAGTCAAAAAGCTAAAAAGTCATGTTATTTTAACTATTCCCAAACGAAGACTTAATATTAATTGCTTCAAACTTTTCATCAATTTTTCTTAATTTTTCTTTTTAAATTTCTATCTTATTCCAAAATTTTATTTTCATCAAATTTGATAAAAAAAATTCATTTCTAATATTTCATCTTTTTAAAAATCTTGATTTGTGATTATTTAATAAAAGGATTATAAATAATTTTAATTTTTTTTATCAATTTTAAATTTAATGAAAGAGAAGATAAATGATTAGAGATGCTCTAAAGCCTTCTTTGAGAAGATGATTTTTGGCTAAAATAGTTAATAAACATAAAATAAACTAAAATAGCTAATAAAATAAAATATCGCATCCAACTTATAATCATTTCACTCTTTTTCTCACAATTATCAAATCAATTAAAAAAACAACTATTATCTCAAACATTACTTTTTAAATTAAATTAAAATAATCAAAAAAATTAAATAATTAATTAAAATAACTAAATTCCCAAACGGAGCCTAATATACTCAGTTTAATGGATTTTATGTACATAGAATGCGGCTTTTGAGCGAAACCGCAGTACTAATCTTAATTTTATAGGCAACGGTGCAAATCTTATATTTCTTTAGGAAAATTTTACACATATATAAAATTCATAAAAGAAAAAAAAATTAATAAGAATGATATGATATTATTATTATTGATCTTGTTTGGGAAGTTGATTATTTAATTGGTTATTTAGTTTTTTAGCTATTTTAATTTTGCTAAAATAGTTGTATTTGGAAAGATAGTTGTTTCGCTAAAAGTGAAATGATTATGGATTAGATGTAATATTTTATCTTATTAATTAATTAGTCTATTTTGTTTTTATTGACTATTTTAGCTAAAAAAAACTAAAAAAATAACTTGGCAAATAGGGCCATTGTAAATAAATTTATTTTTAATAGTATTTTGTTTTGAAATAAAAGGTTTACAACAAATCATATTATTATGTATAAAAATTATTTATGAATTTTTTATTTATATAATATTCTTTTATACATGTGATTGTTCACTTTTGTGATATTTATTTAGCGTATGCCCGTGCCTGAAGGCACGACGTAAATAATGTTCGGTGTAAATAATGTTGGGATTAAAATGTAGTTATAATGTTCGGTGTAAATAATGTCAATTAATTTAATGCATCCTCAACATTTAATTAATCATGGGGAACATGAATATATTAGAAACAGTGTATGCTGCCACACACATAAGCCAGTTTTGTTTGAATAATTGTAGGTATCATTAAAATTTAGGAAAAATTAACCAAAAAAAAAAAAAACTTAAAATTTAATATATTCATGTGGGGTTTGTCTTTAGGAAGAAAAAAATTGTGTTGAAAGACAATTTGTCGGTAGGAAAAAGTAGCCATCAGTCCTTTGCGGGGTCTGTCTTTCATATATTTTTTTTGCATTCCTATTGAAAAAATAATAATATATCAACACATTTTGCATTCCTATTCAAATAAAATAAAATAAAATAATATATCAACACAATTTGAATAGCACATAAAATAAATAAAGATGTGATAGTGGCCAAGCATTTGAATGCGCAACAAAATTAAGAAAACCGACCACTATCTCTTTTCTTACTCTGTTTCTTTTCAATTTCTTCACCATGTCTTCAACAGGGATGAAGAAATAGTCCATGAATTATGAGTGAAAATTTAAATCGGGTTATAGAAATAAAATAAAATGAAAGAAAAATAATGACCCATGAAAGACATGCGGGTTGAAGAAAAAAATAAATAAATAAGAAAAATTGACTGCAGCATCAAATTTAAGGAACAAATAATTTATGAAGTAGTTATTATGGCAATGAGGCTACTGATATCAAATAGAAAACTAATTTAATCAAAGGTTCATTTGCAATTTTCCTAGCTAAGAATGTTAATGACATCTTCATCAAGTTCACTGAAAAGCCCAAATTTCCCTCCGTCAAAAAAACATGATCAGATCTAAAAAAGCTCACATTCTGGCTAAACCAAGGGGGGTCAAAGAATTTATCACCCCCTGTAACTATCATTGTGCATGGTATGCAAATCATTGACCCACTGATAGTACTTGTGATACCCAACACCTAAAACCATCATTATCAGTACCTAATTACGTACCAATAGCATTACCAAGCTCCAGCTTGTATTCAATGGAATCACGACTCCGATATGAAGAGTTGAAAGAGTAACCAAATGGACTAGCTGGTACAACTCCAGCCCATATCTGATTTGCTGATATAACATGAGGGTTCTCCAATCGAACAGGAAATTCTCTGACATGGAAACCAAAGAAAAAATATTTTTTTTTATCAACTTTGGAAGTCATGACGCAACCAAGTGATATAACTAAAAGAATAATCCATGTAAAGTCAATGCAAATAAATTAAAAAAAAAAAAACCGTTCTCCCGTATTCAAAAAATATAAAAATCTCAGCCATTCAAACAAAATATAAAATTAAAAATAAAAAAAGAACCATTCTCCCTTATTCAAAAATAAATAAATAAAATCAGAGATGGGTATAGATGATTTACTGTCTTTGGGTCCATGAAAATCCACAAAGAACTTCTCCACCTTATAGTCACTCATCATCCTATTTCACAACAATAAAAACCCAACTATTAAAATAATAATAGAAGCCAGTTTTAGTGAATAATACAAAGTGATCAAACCCAATATTTTTCCAAAGTAATATAGAGCATCCAATATTTGAATTTTGTTCAAATATTTGTCCAAAGTAATACAGAGCATCCAACCTAATAATAAATTAATGTCATCCCAAACAACCCCTAATTACAAATGAAAAGTGCTCCTATTCTAATGTTGTATTTGATTAAGGATTTGAGAAGAGATTTGAAAAGAAAAATAAAAAAAGTAGGTGAATTGTGAATAAAATATACCTACATTTTATGTAGTTTCACACATATTTTTCATTTTCTTTTCTAAATTTTTCTTCAAATTTCCCAACCAAACACAGTGTAAATGAATTATCAAATTTTTTATTAAACTTCTCACATGAATGCGAGACCTATACAAATCACATGTGTGTGAATCTTACACCCATGTGAGAGGTTTAGTAGAAAATTTAATAACTTATTTGAGATTCCTACCATAACTCATTACAAATACCCAACTTTAATTACTTTGTGGGTCTGAATTTTAAGTATTTTGAAATAAGGATTATTTTATTTATTTATTTTTTAATTCTAAAATTGAGTAAAAAGTTTGATTTAAGCTATGTTTGGTTTTGATTTTTTAGTTAAAAAAGCATAAAAGATTATGGGGTGTTTTGGGAAGATGATTAAAAGCTGTTTTTTGACTTTTTTTGACTTTTTTGTGAGAGAGGAAAATGGGTTAAAAGTTAAAAAATGACTTTTAACCTACTTCCCAAA